CGAATCTGTCGTGTAGTCCGGCGTAATCTGCCTATATCTGCTGATCTGCAACCCTGTACAGAAACCGTATGCTCGCAGGAAATCCCAGGTGTCTTGTTGACAGTCTTATTTACCTACCGGACGTGAACGCTCGCCCTGGTGTCTTGCAAATCAGCCCAGATGAAGTTTAGGACGCGCGTAAGCTCATATTCCCATTTGTTATGCTTGTTGCAATAGTAGGATGTATATCAGCTATTGATACAATTATATGAATATATTACGAGCATATCGTATCTGCTGGTCGTAGTAAGTATGATTACTAGAATTAGCGTATTACCTCTAGCAGCAGTATCCTAGCCCAAACTTAGTAAAACGTGACAGCTTTTTGTAGACAGAGATAAGAGGGGGGAAACCAAGGGAAACCCTGTTGGGCTCCAGGCTTCAAACAGAATAGCATAATCCGAGGTGCAGACTTCTTGTTAAGATTGAGGGAATATGAACTCAGCGCTGACTTTAATCAGCTCCACTTCTGACAAATAGTAGCGCCAATGTTAGTACCAGTACTACTAACGCACAGCTAGATTGCTAGCTAGTAGTAGTAGAAATAGGAGTAACTGTCTCCATCTCGGCGTCATTGAGCCTGTCTTGACACCCCCCTCCCCCCCCCACCTACCGATGGCTTTACCTTATGGGCTACTTTTCGTCTGGTTACGCAATCGTAAAGCATGTTTGTTACTTTCGCTTGCCCGCAGGTTCGCTCCCTGTTTTTGGATAATTGGGAACCCGAGCTGATTGCTGTGATGCGCAACCTGGGCAACCGCCTAGGTGGCACAATCTTTGAGGCTACTGCACCACCCCCGCGGTCAGGCTCCCCCACCGCTAGCATAAACAGTGTCAGCAACAACAGCAGCAGCAGCAACAGTAAGCAGGACGCCCTCTTGTTGACTGATGACATTACTCGGCCTCAACCTGGCCAGGGTTCAGTCAGTAACAAGCAGGTGCGCCAAGCCTGGATTGAGATGAAGTACACAAAAGGCCAATTTGTTGATTTTCCCGGTTCCTCCCTCGCCGACCTGAAGTCGCGCATCCTCGAACTCCATCGTACCTGGCGTTCGCAGATGCACACGGCGTCGCCGGGTGATCATAAGCGGATCGATGCTCCGATTGACCATTCTGTATCCCCAGTGTTAACGATCCTATCAACACAAGTGTTCGGCCGTGTGGCAAAGGTCGTAGATCGTCGGCGACCTTCAGCCAGCCCCCGTCTTGTCAAGCGATCCCAGATGTTCTTGGGTAAGTCGAGTGTGGATTGGGTTCCTTTCATCGTTCCTTTACTTGAGAGGCTTAACGTACAGTCTGTGCGGGGGTCATTCTGTCCTACTTTTTCCGCAGTAAGTTTTATGGAAATAAATCGCGACTCCTCTATTGGGATTCATTCCGCAGGTTTCAGTACCAGGAGCGGAAAACGAGATTACGGATTTATCTACCGCCTATAGTATGATTGTCTTCATCTGAATGTTAGCAGATAGTATGAAGATATCACTGTAAAGAGGTCCTTATTCAATGCACACATTTACTTGTACCAACGTTATTTCGGGTTAAAATTTAGTAAAGAGATTAGAATAGTATTGTTGCACTCCTGTTAGGCAGGCTCGATGTGTCACACTCGTTTTTCGAAACTTGCTTCAGTAGGACTATCTCTAGAGGTCCTATTTACCTTTGACTCATAATAATAAGCTACTTTTACATTTTAAGTAGCCCGACTCTCCCTTTTTTCGCCAGTATGAGGTCAACTTCCCATCAATAGGCATCAGTTGCCTGAACATTAGGAGTTTATATGGATGGAGTTGATTCTGTTTAGCTCATTAAAACAACTATAAGTGGCTTCAATTTAATATTCTTTGATCACTTTCAACACATTAAATATTCATTTACTTTCGTGAACCGAGTATTAAATGCTTAACAACCAATTCCGTAAGACAGTTTGGCGGAGGAGTAGATATTTAGGCGGCCCTACAAGACCTTTTTGCCTTTGTTTCAGAACATATCCTGCCGACCGCAAGAAGAATTGTACACTTTCTGTAATCCAGGGCTATTGAAACAAAAAATCTGATGCGCCCTGGCTCCATAGGATAGTCGAATAAGCGCGTGAAAGTAAGATTGTTTCCTGTGGCCAATGCATGATCTTCCCTGTGCCTGTCTTGCAGAAGGCGAGTGAAGAAGTGTGAAAACTAATTTCATAGAAGTTGCCTCAAAATGACTGCAAATGCCTTGGTCGTCGTTATTTTCAGGCGTCTTTAAAGTGTTAGACCTTAACAATCTGGATTCCGCGGTAGACCTTGTTCCATCGACCTGCACAACAAGGCAGCAGATATATCATTTCAGGAAATTTTCACGAAAATCCCGAAATACTTTTTTTATTGTAAAATGCTTCTGAAGTAGCGTTGTAATATTAGTTATCATACTATGTTCTTAAAAAATGTCTACTTGATTTGCATGCGTTTTCAACTTGACTTACATTGAAAGTATGTACAAACATATTATTTCTTGGTAGTAAATTAAGCGTCCTTAAATATTGCTCTTCAAGAAATAGCATTTTTTCGGTTTATAAGCAGTTTATATTAATTGGATTTTTTAAAATCGCAGAATGTCAATTTCTGAGGCATTGCATTTAGTCGTTTATTAACGGTGCTTATAAAGTATACGAAATTTTCCGCATTCGTTGCAATTTTTTTATTGTGCTTGACTTATTTTTGCTAGTGTATAGAAAGGTTGAATTTTTCTTGCATGAAGCAGTATGCAGTTTTGAAACCCTACGCGCAAGCATAACTGCAAATCGAGTTAAAAATTCTGAAAAAAGCAAAAAAGATATTTTTTTAACCGAAAGTCGCCCTCGCTGTAATTATAAAACTTGAGGAGGTAATTTTCTATCACATTAGTACAAGTCTAAGTTACAAACCTTCTTGCGTTATCATTTCCAATCGACGACCAATTTTTTACTGAGCCATTTTTGATGTACTGTGCATCCCAGGAGACGCAAAAGAGCTGGTTACTGGTCAGGGTGTTCGCATCGATGATGCTTGGGATGAAGACTCTAACAGAGTGGCTCTTCGACTCTCCATTTCTTTGTTAAACGACATTTCTCGCTTTCTGTAAAGGAGAATTCGTAAGGCGGGAGTTGAACATTTCGCCTTAAGTAGTGTATTCGTCGTTTTAAAAGCCCTAGACTAGTAAGTCAAAACTGAACAGTGCAAGGCTAATGTATGCTGATGCCAAAAGAAAACTTCTCAATAATTCTCTTATCCGCCCGTGTTGTTTGAAAATGCAAGATCTGTACAGGTCTAAGCCGTGTTCCTGCTCAGATCACTACAATGATCAAGCCAAATTCCAGGTTGTATGTAACGAACAGAAGCTACCAGAATGAAGGATTTACTGTATATAATAATATGTTTATTATGCCAGTTTACAGGCAATTGTAAAGAGTTGG